AGCTGTTTCTTGCAACGATTGCATATAGCCTTCCATTTCTCACCAATTTTTTGTCTTTTGTAGTGCTCCCAAACAGATGAAGTCAATTTCCTCTTTCTGAAAGTTGGTTCTCCATTATCACACTCTTCGTCACTTAGGTTTATTGGCATTTCATTTGCATTTGGTAACGTTTCAGCTGGATCTTCTTGCGGGACATCGCTCGCCGGTATATTGGTCGTGCCATCATCCTCGAGTATTGGTCCTACTCCAATACTTCCAGCACTAGCTGCACTACTTGGACAAGACATCTGTGCAAATAATAAATGATATTAAACACAATGAATTTTATCCAAATTAAATACAAATGTATTAGAAAACTAAAAAAATCATCTATGCTTTTAAAATCATATAAGCTTTAATGAATTTATAAACCTTCACCCACCGGACATGCATCCCACTCTTTCAAGAAGCAGTATTTTTCATTTAGTGATATGTAATTCACACGAAATGAGTGCTGCAGCAAATCAGAAGTATCGCCGATTATATGTTACTTAAATCAGATAATTTGAAAAAATATTGATAAAAACAATGAATCTGATTGTTCACTTTAAAATCTTAAATCTGCTATTTGGGTTTTAAGGATACCACAAAATCACATAATGTTGTCAGAAAAATAATATTTCTTCAAGGATGATATATTTTTCAGCCAACCCAACTTGAATCATTGTGGCCAATTGATTTTTTTGTTCTAAAGGTCTCTCACCGGACATACATCCCACTCTTTAATGAATTTATAGACAAAAGCATCCACCACCTTCAGACCATCTTTATTTTCATTGCACTGCAGGAAAGAAATCATTGTATTTTTCCATATTTATCATTTAAATATGATAATGATATATGATATCAGTATGGTCCACATACTAATATGATTACATAACTGAAAATTATTTTAAAAGGGTAATATTAAATTAGAAGAAAGGCATGTTATTCTACATTGTAATGTGTAACTTTTCAGATAGTGGGCTCTGTAGAATGAAATCATAACAATTAACAAAGTAAACTTTTTCTGGCACATATGATATAAAAGTCCCTCTCATTACACTTCAAACCAGTAACTCCCACTTACCATGAAAGCTCCCTTATCTCTCCACGACTCCACCTAAACTTACTCAGCTGTGGCATCATCAACAATAATGGCAGCTACTGTCGGAGCTGTCAATTATAAAAAGGATTCTAATTTGTTTTCTTTGTTAACATTATCAAGTGCTGTCCAGTTTAGTAATAATAACAATTTTCTACTCATTTGTTTAGTAAAAAGGATTCTAATTTGTTTCCTTTGCAAAATTCAACCGCAAGAATAGAACATGCCAATATTACCTGTTCACACTTCACAAACGAGACGCTGAAAATTAAAGATAATGGTCAGCCGCTCAAGGAAACAAGGCTGCAGGATGAACTGGGTTACTGGAATTGTGCTGTGCGTCAGTGCGTGGCTGCGTGGTTGAGGAATGAGGCGTCAAGTGAGGGTGAGGGATTAGGGTAGAGTTAATAGAAAATTAGAAATGGTCCAAATGGAACTTGTTAGTAGTTACTTGAATTTGGGCCTGATTCCACAGCCAATCCCAGTAGCAGTTCATGGTTCATGGTCCATGTACAGTGGTGGAAAACTGGAAACGTTTTTTTTATTGTTAACGGGCGGGGCCGGGGTGGCCCACCCCGCCCCGCCAACCCCCTCGGAGCGATTTTTTTCTCCCTATTCGGGGCGGGGCACCATCGGGGTGGGGCGGTGCGATTTTTTTTACCATATCTACGTGCAAGTAGAGGCAGTACTTCACTAGTATAAGTCCACGTTAGCGCCATATTTGTCAACAAATTGGTAAACACCATTTCCCCGAATCAATGTTAAAAGAAAAATGTAGAGTAATGTTATTCGTCTTTACTGAAGTTGAACCCCAATTTATGTGACAATTACATGACATTAAATAATAGATTCATTTAAATATAAAGTCACATGACTCATTTAATTGAGTCTATCATTTAATGTCATGTAATTGCCACATAAATTGGGACTCAACCCCAGTGGGGATGAATAACATTATTCAAAAATATAAGAGTGAAATTAATACGAGGAAAAATGCACTTCTAAGAATGCATATAAAGAGACCGTTTCTCTTATCAATGAATTTGACAAATAATCTCAGCCCTCGACTTAAGCCTAAGGTAATGGCCTAGATTTATTCACATTTTTAACGAAATGTATTTGGATAAGGGTATATGGATTTTAAAAGATTTTAATAAATCTAGACGTTAGACTAACTTCATTGATAGTAAGAACAAAGAGTGGTTTTCTTACATATAAAAACAGTACTAGGGCATCTTACCTTGGGCTTCCTGCTAGAGGCATCTAGACCATTCCCAAGTGCCATGTCCATTCACTCCTAACAAACCATACCAACAACTCTCAACAAATTTAAACTTGACTATATAATTATGTTTCGTCGAAGTTGTTCGATTCAATAATCCACGAGGCACCTGTAGTCAAAAGTGAAGAAATAGGGGTTATCGGCTATCTTAAAGGAATCGAGTATTTACAATAATTTTTTCGAGGATTTGAAAAAAATACTAACCATAAGGTTTGTCGGTCTAGATTTTCTTGCCACCGCTTGCCTCGACTTTGAAAGAGAAGGTTCTTGCAAGGGAGGGGAGGCCTCTTGCTGAAACCTTCTCATAGGTGAATGGGGAGGCTTTTAGGCTTAGTGACCTCATGACTGCAGTTGCCATGTGCTATGCTTCTTATGTTGTGTCTTCCTTAGAATCAGGGACGGATTTGGGGGGCGCTGTAGCCCCACGTCTCCCCCTCCCCCCACCCCAACTAATTTTTTTTAGTTAGAAAAAAAAATTATGTAAAAAAAAATAAAATTCATGTGTAATTTTTTTTTTTTTTTTACGTATTAGCTCGGTCTGTAATCCGATCCTGGATCCGTCCCTACTTAGAATGTCATTGATAATATTACAGCCTTATAATAATATTTATTTATTTTTGAGGAAAAACATCAATATATTCCAAAAAGGCAAAAAAANCAACCACAAACCAACAAAAATGACTCAAGCACAAACAAACTAAACACCTCCCAACAATAACACCGGCACAAGAAGTCGGAAAACATCTGCGACTTTATCAAATTGCAATCTATTTTTCAGCCTTTTTTTTTTTACAATTTTAAATCCATTATTGGCAGGAATTGTGAAGGAGTTCTTTCCTCTCCTTTTTTTTTTTTTCAAAAAATTAAATTATGTTCTATTTTTCATTTATAAACACAGGCTAGCTGAGTACAGTAGTCTATGTAATTATTAGAAAATTGCAAATAATTCACGTGTCTCTATCAAGATAGATATATTTGGGTAATTAGTGTAACGTGATCCATAGTGCACTAACACGTGGTTCAAAACTGCAGATGGTTAAATCTTCTCATTTTACGAAAGTGTTTCTCCTCCCTAGCAAAACAAACAGATGGAACCATATAAATATATTGTATTATATCGTATAAAAAAATAACCCGTCACGCAGAAAATGAGGTCTATTGAGCTGCTTTGAAAACAAGAAAGTCGATAATGTAGCCAAAAAATTTGAAATGACTCGAGGATTTGCACACTAAGCATGCCAGTTCAATGCTATATCTACTCCATGGAGTAGAAAATCATTCGGACAAATAAAAAGTTAATTTTTATCAAGTATCTGACTAGTCTAACTAAACCCTAATACAAAACGGATGGTAACGACCGAAGAGTACGCAAAGACTATGCATCAATTATTTTAAAAGAAGTCGTCAAAATATAATCTCAAAAGGCTTGGTCAAATGGTACCTTGGATGAGACTTGGACAATGTCACTAACAATCGACATATCTAATCTGAACAAAACTTGGTCAAGAGTCGTGACATGGATTGACTTTCACACGGCTACCCTGTTGCTTTCCTGATATGACGAGTGGCGATGAAAGTCTTGTTTGGCAGACGTCCCAACTCCCAAATAAGATACATTTCTCCGTGGACTTTTCGAAGACTCGTATATCAGTATTTTCTTTTATTAATCTGTTGCACGATTGCACCCCAAAATTTTCTTATTAGCTACACCCTCAAGCTCTCGATTTCGCCTGCTTAATTTTCTGAGGTATTTTTCTCATCTGGGTTTGTTTTAATATGATGTTTTCACTGTTTATTTCTTTGATTTTCGTTTAAATTGTTGTGGCAGTGGTACTATGTTCTGGTTCTGTGAATCACTGTTTGGTTTGGAGCTTTTTATTTTTGCTTTTTTAATGGGCAAAATTAAATCGAGAGAAGGGTGATCAGGATTTAGGAATGTAAAGTTAATGATTTTTGAAAACTAGAGGTTAAGTTAGTATGATTTAAAAGAAGAGTTTTTTTTTTTACCGCCCTTTTTTCGTTTATTTGTTGTGGTTATACTTCGTTCAATTGTTATCATGTCAATTATGTGATCTTTTTGTCTTGCATTTTGGCTGGTAACAAATTTGGTATTTTTCTTACATTCTAACTGTTGAATTGATGTCATCTAAAAGCAATCGGTGTCTAGTGTGGGAAGGCTAAACTTTTATGGCATTCGATCATATCCCAACTTGCTCCCCAACACAATCCATAAAACTTGGTTCTTTGCCTGTGGGGAAAATCAATTGTTAGTATGTAAAAAATGCCATTTTAAGAATATGAGTTATCAGAAATCCAAATGTTTCAGAAAAGCCTATATGGGTACTTAGTTTCAGCTATATGTAAAGAATTTGAATGTTGAAGAAATTTTGCAGAAAGATTCATTCCGAAATTTCTATAACAGCTGTTTTTTCTTATGTTTTTATCAGTCTTATATTTTGCACTATAATTCTATGAGATCATGAGATAATAAGCTAATAAATGTGGAATTCAATCCCATATCGTATTGAGTGGAGTGATACATTTCATGAGCTAATTACTACTCTTCGGAGTTCAAGTTTGTCAGTGGTGTAAATGTCTCTTTTTATGTCATATTTGGCTAAGCTTCACTACAGTACTTTTAAGCTTCTTTTTTGCCAATCATATTTAAAAGTTACTTTCTTTTTAATAATAGAACTTACTTTTAGCCAAACAAGCACTTAATGTATCACATAGCTTCACATGTGAGTGAACAAGCATATGCAAACCTGTAGACAAACATACTGTGTTATAAAATGGACTCCATTGCCAGACCAGTTAGACGGCGCTTTTACTAGTATAAATTATTATTGGTCCAACACTTAACTATGCGAGACAAGTTCTATTCACAGGGTCTCATCAATGCATTCATGAATCGTTTTGGCAGGCTGTGCTTGGTTTTGCTGAAGCATTTTCTCCTGAGAGGGAAGTCATTGTGTACCTGTAGCGATGAATTGCTTTTCCTTCTTGTGTAGTAGAAGATCAAATCCACCAACTAGACATTCATCTGAGCTTGACGATGGTAAACCCCAAAAATTCTCTATGCATTTCCATAGCCGTTTGTTGTAGATATTTAGAAGATTCTACTAAAGTTGGATTATATACAGAGCTGTCTGGAGTTCACAATGTTGCACTTTACTCCTACAAACAGCTAAGAATGGCTACCGATGATTTTAGTCCGATCAATAAAATTGGGGAAGGAGGATTTGGTTCTGTTTTTAAGGTAAAAAAAGGGGTTACTTTTTCTTTTCTTCATGTTAGACAGTATTAGTTAATTATTTTTGCAGTTTGGAAAATGACTTCGTTTCTAATAAAAAATAGGGAAAACTCGGGAATGAGAAAATGGCTGCTATAAAAGTTCTCTCTCCCGGATCAACACAAGGAGTAAAAGAATTTCTGACAGAAATTCAAGTGATCTCTGATGTACAGCATGAAAATTTAGTTAAGCTTTATGGATGTTGTGTTGAAGGAAATCACAGAATTCTCGTTTACAACTACCTAGAGAATAACAGCCTTGCACAAACGCTTATTGGTATAATCACTTTTCTTATGTTTATACCAAATATTTTCCCCCTCTTTTCTGGAGAGAAATGAATCTGATGCTGTCATTGTGCATTAGGTGGACGTCATAGTAGCATCCAGTTTAGCTGGCAAACACGGGTTAAAATTTGTGTTGGAGTTGCAAAGGGACTTGCTTATCTTCACGAGGAAGTGAGACCGCCTATTGTCCATCGGGATATCAAAGCTAGCAATATTCTTCTCGACAAAGATTTGAGCCCTAAGATTTCAGATTTCGGTCTTGCAAAACTCATCCCTGCCAACATGACTCATGTCAGTACACGTGTGGCAGGAACCATGTAAGTAGTAAAATCCTACCATACATGTTGAAAGAGTGTTTTTGTACGTTTTAATCATCCCCATGAAGTTTTCTGAGGGTTTATGGATGTTTGGCTGTGCTTGAAAGTAAGTGAAAACATATATTTGAGTTACTTAGTTTGCCTCTCTGGAAAAGTATCATTTAAGCAAAGCCAAACATGCTAGCAACAAGTGAATTTCAAAGTCGATAGAACTAATATCCGTCTTAGCCCCGTTGCTCATGTTGTGATTTACTAACTTATACCTGAATCTTTATCTGTTCTGCAGAGGTTACTTGGCACCAGAATATGCAATGAAAGGCCGGCTTACTCGCAAGGCAGATATTTACAGTTTTGGTGTTCTCCTCATCGAAATAGTCAGTGGTCGATGCAACACGAACTCACGGTTACCTGCTGAAGAAAAATATATTCTTGAAAGGGTATAAAACAGTATAGCATAAATATTTCAAATGCTGATATTCTATAAATGAGCTCTTTCGATAAGGGCTTGTATTATTCCTGTGATAACTATTTTCCGAGGCATGTACATGACGGTTGAAATTGTGTTGCAGGCATGGCAACTTCATGAAAGACGGGAGCTTGTATCACTAGTCGACATAGCACTTAATGGAGATTTCGACCCTGAACAGGCTTGTAGATTCTTAAAGATTGGTCTTCTCTGCACTCAAGATTTTCCAAAACTTCGACCCTCAATGTCAACTGTCGTCCAAATGCTTACCGGGGAGAAGGATTTTGATGAAAATGAGATAACGAAGCCCGGCTTAATCACTGATTTCATGGACCTAAATATTAAAAGCACCCCTAAAACCAAGGCTCCAATCATTCACCCCACTTCCAATTTATTATCCTCTGGCTCTGATAATTTGGACTCAACTTTGTCCTCGGGAACTTCTTCTCAGGCCACCTTCACATTTACAGCATTATATGATAGAAGCACTTGAACAAAAAATTATGCATTGATAGACAAAGATATGTAGATTTTATTTTTTATAATCTTATGTTTTTCTTAGGATTGGTTAGATTGTGTTCAAGGCCATCTCCGATCTTACACTAAAATTTGAGATAAGTTTTGTACCATTTTAAATCAAATCTTGTACCAAACTAAAAATTATTTCCAATCATTAAATCAAAACTTATACCAAATGAACAGTGTGTAATCATTTTCTTCATTTTTTTTTTCATTTTTAATAATTTATTTATTTGAAAAATAATTTATTTATTTTACAATTAATAGTAACACTATAAAAAAGAAAATATTAAATCACGCCATTAAAACATTAGTGCAATGCATTTCGAATTTTGATGTTACGATATTACGAAGTCGAAATTAATTGAATTCATTAAATCGTGTTTGTTATATTTTAAATTTTTTTGCGTGTTCTTATTTTAATTGATTCATTAACTACTACTTTTTACATTATTATTATTATTATTATAACAATAATTTATTGTATTAAAAAATATATAACACAAATGACACATACATTTAATCAATTTGTTTGCAAAAGAAAACAAAGGTTAAAATTCAATATCAAAATAATGCAAAGTTTGGTGCTACGTACAGGGATGGACCCAGGATTATAGTTCAACGAGGGCAAGACGTAATTACGTAAACAATAATTTCAAATTAGAGAATAGCGATAATATTCAAAAAGACTGAAAGTAGTACTTTTTTTTTTACAATTGTTCCTTACGGCTTCTCACACTTTGAAAATACTGTATAATAGTCTCGTTATCAATTTCATTAAATATATCTTTTTCAATATACACAACTAACCTATCATTCATCAATTGATCTCCAATCTAATTACGCAGTCAATTCTTCATAATGTTTATAGTAGAAAATACTTTTTCAACTATAGCAGTAATAACATGAAGAGTTAATTCTAAAGTCACAAGTATGTAAAATAACGGGTACACTTTATTTCTTTTGATCACAACCAACTTTAATACAAGTTCAATAAGTCCCTGCTATACATTCAATCTCCAAAAAAAAAATCCAGTTATACACTCACAACGCTCCTTTAGGTAGGTACAAATTTCAAATTTACAATTCATTGCACATAATAATAGAGAAGTTAAAATAACTTTAAATCAGAAGCTAGTTTAAAGGGTTTCATAGTTGTCCTTAACAAGAAAGAGAGTTAAAATAAGTTTTAAAGTCAATTCTCATACAAATTATACAATGAGCAATCTGTCTTGTTTCACATCTTAAAACGGATATCCTACTCCTACTTCTCAGCTTTGCCTAAATGTAAAAGACTTCTTTCATAAGGGGGATTTGATGAGAGGTTTTACTGTCCAAGAACAAAAATAACTATCAAAACATAAATAATAAGATTAAGAGAGAGAGATTTCAAAATTTTGCTTATTCAATATGTTATTCTTCTTTCAAAATATGTGATTGGAATCTTAGGGGTTTGAGATTAAATGGAATTGTAGGGGTTTGAGTGAACTCGAATTGCAACCTCGCAGGAGCCTTACAGGAACAATTGGACGAAGGTGGAAGGGGTTGGGTTAGTATGTAATGTCGATACTTTGTTTGATTTCGGGCTGAAAAGTATGAGCTTGTAAAAAATCAAAAAATTCGGAAGTCCAATAGGGGCAATTGCACCCACTGGACCCTTAATGGGTCCGACCCCCCCCGGTTACATATTACATATAAGACATTTTGCACCAAAATTTGGTACATTTTGGTGTTTTGGTGTCTCCTCTAGAGATACTCTAAGATTTGTATTTTTTTTTTGTTTTTGGAATATACATGTAAATAATTATACAATAAATACTCCTCCATTTCTCTCATTGCCAATGTTCTTTTTTTTTTTTTTCCTTTTTTTTTTTATTTTTTTTATTTTTTTTAAAAAGTGAGAATCAATCCATGTGAGTCATGGGGTTATGTTGTGCCAATCATGCCCGAGGTTTCAAGAGGTCGAGATTAATGAAAATAAAAGAAGAATTAGTCAAATATTAAGGTCAGCTTATAGATTACATTATATGAAGATGTCTCTCCAAATTGGTGCGTGGAAGGAGCTAAAATTGCAGTTGAATTTTGGCAAATTGAAATTTAACAAAGTTTATTTAGGTCAACAAATAATTAATCGTTTACTTTTTCTTTGCAGCATTGCTTAATCCAAACCACTCATGTTGCTTTGTTGAAAAATAAAATACAATTCTTATTTACTTTATGTAATAATTTTAAATCATGGCAGAACGTGATAATTAAATATTAAAATTGAAACTTTTAGGGTCTGTTTGGGATTTTTTTTTTTGACCGATTTTGAGTGGCATCGATTGCAAGGGGTTGGAAAAATCGGTACTTGCTAGTTTTTTTGGGCATCGGTAGTGTAATTTTGAACGATTATTTCAACCCACCAAATCGTCGGATTTTGACTGTTTCTCTTGTTCTCTTCTAATTTTATCATTTATAAAATAATTACTTCAACCAACATATTTTGTTCAAAACTAAATTGTAAATTGAAATATATTAACTAAAAAATAATTATAATTTAAAAAATTATATTATAATTAAAAAATACTTATATAAGTGAAAATTACTTATAAGTAAAAAATCATTTTATGTAAAAATTATTAAAAAATAAAAATACTACTAATATAAGACAAAAAATACTTATAAAATGTAAAAAANACTACGAGAAACATTTCCGTGTTTTTAAAGAAACTAGATAGTGTTATCCTCGCTGTTTTTACAAAAAAATCTTTTTGGAAGATGTTTTTCATTGAATCTTGAGAAATATGAAGGATTGAATATATAATATCGAATCGAATATTATTAAGAAAGAAAAAGAAATTAAAATCTTGATCATTATACTTTCCGTACACTAAGGGTTTGCTTGGGAGTTTTTTTCTTTCACCAATTTCGACTGGTTTTGGGTGGCACCGTTTATAAGGGGTTGGAAAAATTAGTGCTTGCTAGTATTTTTGGACATCAATTTTGGATAATTTTAAAATCACCCAAAATCGGTGTAGTGTAATTTTGACTGATTTCTCAACCCACCAAATCAGCGAATTTTGACTGTCTCTCATGTTCTTTTCTAATTGTATATTTTATAAAATAATTATTTGTAAGCAACACATTTTCTTCAAAATTAACTTGTAAATAAAAATATATTAACTAAAAAATTGTTTATAATTTAAAAAATTATATTATAATTAAAAAATACTTATATAAGTGAAAATTACTTATAAGTAAAAAATCATTTTATGTAAAAATTATTAAAAAATAAAAATACTACTAATATAAGACAAAAAATACTTATAAAATGTAAAAAAGTTGCTTACAGGTAAGAGCATCTTCAATAGACTCTCTATTTTTAAAGAACATATTCTATCATTGGGAGAGCATCTATAAATTTAGAGAGTTAAAATTTTGAAATACTCCAACAAGTTCTTTATATTTAACACTTAATTTTACTATTCTCAAAAAATATTTATTATTTTTCTTTATCTTTTATTTTAACTAGCTTTTTTTTAAGATTATTTTATTATTTTCTTACATTGAAAATTGAAACACTTTGAATGCATTTAATTATAGAGATTGAGTTTGGAACATAATTTTAAATGTTGACTATTTAAAATAGAGAGTATTTCATATTTAAAGAGTCTATTGGATATGGTCTAAAAAATCACTTAAAGTTATTTAAAAGTAAAAAATTAACATATAATCGTAAAAGTTACTTATAAGTAAAAAATATTAACTTAAATTATGAGTAAATATTTAAATTTAGTTAATTTTTTAAATTAAATATTAATTTATATGTAAAAAATTTTCATATAAAAGAAAATTTTACTAAATGACATATACATAATTTTATTCTTTTAAAAAAATTTCAGAGTCAGTGGATAATAATCTCTCAACTATAGGTTGGATAGTTTTAAAAATCACTACTAAAACACTCAAAATCGATTCGCTCATAAACGCTAAAAATTGATACTTTAAAACACGCTTATAACAGGTACAACGAAACTCTCGAGCAAGTCCTTAAGTTACATTTTGATGGACGTTGCAGAAGACACGATCGATTCCTCTCATGTGTTGACTTTAATATTGCCATGAACTTAGTATTCAGAATCAAAATTCTATATATTATAGAATAATGATGCTGATACAAATTAGAGATGTGTCAACTTAAAGTTGGCTCAAATAATCGACTCTACGACGAATACTTACAATTGTGTACCCATAAATTCGACCCAAATGATCCATCTTGCCTTATAATTTTAGGTGGTGAATATGCATGTCATAAAAAAGAACTTTAGCCTAAAAAAGAATAATCAAAATTTAAGTAGTGAAAATTTAAGGGGGGAGCTAAAAAAATAAAGAGAATTGCAGGAAAGGTAACCAACCCTTGCCAGCACTACAGAACAACCTGTCTTTTATGTAGCTAATAAGATAAGAAAAAGATAAGCAGAGTGGGTCTCATTTCATCATTATATACCAAATTAAAACCTAATCTTCTAAACAAAACTAAAATTCGCTTTATTTCTCTCTCTAAAATAATACATTCTCTCTCATCATCACTGGTTGTCTCACTCTCATGACCCTTTTTGAAGCTTTTTAATCATGCTGCTACTTTATTCTTCACAAGCAGTCTCTCGAGTGTCCACTTGTCTCCCACTGATCAAAAAAATTCTCAAGATTTAGCCCAGAATTGCATAATTTTTCATCATCTATTACGGCCTATTTTGATATTCTGTATACAATTTCCAATGTATTATCGTGGTTCTTTTCTTGGGTAGGTTTCTTTCTTTAGTAATAATTTTTTTTTAGCGGTAACGTCTGAGGATTGTTCTGGTCAAAAAAGTGGGAAATGTTGTGAGTTCATTTATGGGTTTGCTTTATATGAAACGTACGTGGGAAGCAATTTAGCGTCGTTGTATTTTCCAGAAATTTACTGAATTCTCAACTGTGGAGTTCACGAAA